TCCTTTAGAAGGCAGGCTTCCCATCCTCTATCAAGGCCAACCCCGGTAGAGAAGGATACCGAGATACTCGATTAAAATTTTGTCCCCACTTGGTAATCGAACTTGGGTCTCCGGTATGTGACAGTCCAGTGGCTAACCGCTACACCACAGACGTCGGTCATAAACCTCAAGACAGCAGACATCTATCTCACATTGGGTGGACTGAGGAAATTTTTGTTCTGATCATTTCTTCCTTTTGAAATCACATAAAACATCTCAAAACTCTTTATTTGCAATTTTTAAAGCCTAAATTTTATTAATATCAAATACCTACAGTCCGAGTCCAATCATCAAGGTTAAAACTATGTTAAGCTGTAAAAAATCTTGCCATAAATCAAGCAACAAACAAATTTCCAAGCAAGAAGAAGCTTAAAATTCTAGGAAACAGGCTGACCCTTTAAGTATTGCAAGGCATTTAAAAAAAAAATGTTTTCATTTACATACCCATTGACAAATATTTTATCAAGACTGTTCAACTCTGAGACTCCAGCAATGTACTGCTGTATGGTTATAGTAGAAAGACTGAAAGACAGCTTAAAGAATACTATTTTGCATCAACAGTTAAATTCATCAGCTGCTTGGTGTCAACTTTGCGGGCGTACAAACAAACTCGCACACACACATACATGTGCACACACACATATACGCACATAAACACACGCCAGTTCCTCTTCAAGACAGCAGACACAAAGAAAAAAAACCCACTTGCACACACACACACACATGTGCACAAACACACAGGCAAACACAAATCAGTCCCTCTTCAAGACACTATCTGACAGACCGTTACAAGTCATGAATGTGATTCAGAGCAGACCAGTTCATATGACCATCTGGTCGTCATTCACAAGGATTCAAACCCTGGTCTATAAGGCTGTGAGGCATGCACTTAGATCTATATGACACATGGTACAACATGTTAGAAAACATTCACATGCAAACAAGTCAAAAAGTGTTCTTGAAATGGCCATATTTCAAATAGGCCTACTGCACACAAATATGATATCAAACGTGTAACTTACTTCATACATTTAAGCAAATGAAATCAAACTGAACATAAAATGAAATAAAAATCTGCATCTCCCACCACAAATCCCTGCCTTAACTTAAGACATATATATATATATATAATTTAGTTGACTGAAGTTTTACAATATATCTATATATATATATTTATATCTA